GGGGGGAGTGAAGTTTAATGTTTTTCATGAAGTGTGGAAAAATGTTTCCTTAAAAGACATGTTTTCTGGAGAAGCGGTTTCTTTTCCGGAAGAGAATTATTCTCACAAAATACTCGTAAATCTTCAAAAGACTACGGGTGTTTTTGCTTGTTTGGTATGAAGAAAAATATCTTTCGGAAAATGTTTTTCATTTTTTCCTTGTTTTGTTTGCTTAAATATTCTAGAGAATATTTTCCTCGTGAACTTATTTTCCTCCAATTGGAAAAAATAAGTGATAAAATTATTTAATTTCCAAAAAAATATTTTCAAGGAAAACATTTTCCTCCATACCACTCTTTACTAGCATTGAAATCTTTTTTGTACCAAGTCTTTTCAGAGTACTATTTTCAGAAGAAGTTCCCAATAGTAGTCCAAAATTTTTGTAACGAAGGGAGCATAATAGTTACATGCAAAGGAAAACTGCCATTCTTTAGAGGGGATGCTTGTTTAAGAACAAAAAATATATCACTTTCTTTTGTTCCAAGTCATTGCGTATTTTTTTAAAAATATTTGTTCCTTCGTATATTTCGAGCTTCAATCACTTTATGGTTCTTTGTATTCTGGCTTTGCTGTAAATCGTAGCTAACCTTCTTCCTAGCAGAAATTATTAATACTTGGGATATTTTTTTAGAATCAAGTAAATTACATATTACCACCACATCGAGCTGCTTTTAAATTCATATTACAGCCATATAGGCTTGATTCATTTTGCAAAATTTCCAGGATATTGACAACGTTAACTTAATAATATCTTGAAATATTAAAGCTATTATGATTAGGGGTGCAAATGGACCGAGTTGGTTCGGTTTATATCAAAATCAAACCAAACCAACTATATCGGTTTGGATTGGTTCGGTTTTGCCGGGTTTTCAGCATTTTCTGGTTTTTTTTTTGTTAGATGAATATTATTTTAATCTTACTTTGTCAAATTTTTGATAAGTAAATATATGTGTTAGTAAAAATTAATTTTTTTTACAAACATATGATCTATTAAAATATTCTTATAGGAGAATTTTCTTAATAACACATGATATTTATTTATTTTAGTCGTTTGACTAATTTTTCGTTGATGTACACTTTCAAAGTTAACCAAATTTAGTAATTAAGTATAAAAATCAATATGATACCTAAATAATGATATGTTCTATTTAATTTTAAATTATCGAAATTTCACTTCAAATTCGAAAAAGATATATAAGAATTTTGATAGATTTTGACATATGAATATGGAAGAACAAAGAGATTGACGCATTTTAGTAACACTTGATAAGAAAGTGATCGTACAACCAATTATTTAAAGTTAATAAAAATGGAGCACTTCATATTTAACGAAATATTACATGCCAGAAGAGTCGCAAATATTTCTAGATATTTTTTAAAGAAAATTCTATAAAAAGTCTTAAAGGCATATATATAAAAACTATATATTTATATTTTGGTTTGGTTCGAATTTGTTTTACTCAATACCAAACTAAATTAGACCAAATATAATTGGGATTTTTAATCGATTTGGTATTTGGCACGGATTTTCGATTCGGTTTGTACACCACTAACCATGATCATGCATTGGATCATCCATAATTGGAGGATAGACCACCATTTAATCCACGCCATTTCTTCCCCCATAGAGTAGTAGAGTAGCATAGGTGCTTGAAAGAGGCATCCCCTTTGCTATTTTAAATTCATCCTTTCCTCTGCATTTCTTGTCGAGTGAATCACGTTCACTTCTGCAAGGAGATTTGTCAAAATTTTCCATCATAAAGTTCATATTTGCCGCACTTCAAATTCAAATGAAGCAGTCAAGAATAGTTGGTGGAGACCAGAAATGCAAACTTAAAGGACCAAAACTATTTAGGAGTATATTTAAGGGATTATTTTAAACCAACCCAAAAATACAAGGGACCATGTTCGTCATTTTCTCTGAATTTTTGACTTCTAAAGAAAAAAAAGTACATTTACATTTTTTACAAAAAAAAAAAAAAAAAAAAAAAAAAAAAAAAAAAAAAAAAAAAAAAAAAACTTACCCTCATCGTTTCATTTAGTAGAGTAGTAAATGAGATATTTAAGAGAGATACATGATAAATTAAATAAATAATTCTTTATTCTTATACTAAGATTGCTGAATAGTTATTCTTAAGTGATGTACATGTTAGAACATGCGCAGCGAAAGTAAACATACAAATTAGGCATCAAATACATGTAAATTAGACAATGATATAATTACGAGATTCGAAACCACTAACCTCTTGAAAACGTTGCACAGGTCCTCCTCAGAGCAAGAATCCAGGGCTACAGTCTTCTGCTATGGTCCTAGTAAGACCTTGGACGAAATTGCTTTGAGTGAGCAAGAACAATAGTACAACTCAAAAAAGGTGAGTTATTGGGTGAAAAATATCTTTCTATGTAGACTCGTTTTTCAGCCAAAGAGGGCTCCAAAACGTGTAGAATTCTGCTTGTGCAAGTAGAATCCTAATCTAACTCTACAAGATGATTTTTCTCCCGAGTCACTTTTTACCCAAGCCAGTCCAGGTTTTTACTAGGTATAGCAGGGACCACATAAATAGTAAGAGGCAACCAATTATAGCATTAATTCGAAAATTTGGATGAATTAATTCCTACTATAATTAATTGCAGTTTATTCCACTAAAAAACTGCAATTGAACTCCTCAATATGAATTTCGAAAATTCACTAACACTTATTTTAACTCCCCATGTTAAGATCACAAATATCAGTTAATTAAATTAAATCACTAATAATTTAATTTAATCAACTAATTAAATCCTCTATAATTTCGCTTAAACTATTTCATGTGACGGATACAAAATCCACCGGTCGAGTTTTCACATGAAAACTTATAAGCTTACATAAAAGGGATATCATCAAACTCAAAACCGAGTTATGGTTTCTATCAACTATTTCACAAATGCTATTCGTCATTGTCCAATCTATTAAGCATACACTAACTCTGAATAGAGTTGTACCTTTTGATAAATCAAAACAATAAACAAATCACATTGATCATAATAATTATATCAAGATTAGGAGTTTAAGATCATTTAATGAATTAGAGAAAATATTTTATATATATTCAGTACAATAACAATTTTTCTCTACTCGGTCCGTTCAATATACACTAAGTATACTAGCACAAGAAGTCGGAGTAAAACCACTCCCATAATCAAGACAAATTATACTATAATCTTGTGCTATAATCATCAAGATATTTTGCCCAATAACATCTTCGATTGTGAACATAATTTATTAATTATGAGAACCGACATCTTCTTTGCATGAGCTAAGACTCCATACACTAAATTATCTATTACAAAACTAAAGGACACACATGTAACAATTGATCTATTTTAAATAGTATTTTATTGAATTGAATAAATTAAATAAATAATTATTCCATAAAATATAAAATATAATACTATGTCTAAACTGCATGGTTGATAATATATCCCAATAGTACAAAAATATAAAAAGACGGAAAGAGAGCGATAAAAATGTAAGCAAACGTGCCTAAAAGGTCCAAAAGGTGGTTGTGGTTGTGGTGGACTTGTTGTGCCCCACATTTGGAAGTTGGAAGTTGGACAGATGTCTGAAACAGATAAGAGTATGATTTGACTGATAAACTTGGATATGAAATGCTGGTGAGAATTTGGAGAGAAAAATTAGAACTGAAGGTGGGAGCGAGGACATGAACCTATTGGTATCCCCAAACTTTGGTCCGCAAGTTAGTAAATTTGCGAAAAGGTCACTCAAATCTGTAAAATTCCCATTTGGGTCCTCCTCAAATTCCCTGGTACATGGCATTCATGTCTTTCATTGCCCAGTAAGTAAGTGTTCATATGTGTATGCACAGTGCACTACCAGCATACATAAACATTTCCAACATGGGTAATAAATGAATTCGGATGTGGGTTATTTGTCTTATGTAATAGGACTACTGATTGGGAGATTGAGACGAGAATTGAATTCGTTTTTGTGAATAGGATGAAGTAGGAATCGTAGCAAAGCTATCAGATTGCATAGCATCAAGGGGTGGAAATATTCTTAACGCTGATGTTTTTGTTCCAGAAGACAAGAATGTCTTTTACTCAAGAAGGTATTTTCTCTTACTTTCTCTTAAGTTTGTAGTATCTCATTTGGGGTTGGGTTATGTGTAATCTTTTGCACTAGCCGGAGTACTATAGAAAATGGACTTAAGTTATATACACTGAAAGTGTAAAGACTTTTTTTAGTGTAGTTTAACCCCGTGGCGGAGGTAGAATTTTCGCTAACGGGGTTCAAAAAAGAAAAAAATTAAAAGAGATTGTAGCTAGAGGGAATTGAACCATTGACCTCACAAAAATTTTGAACTCCTTTGATCACTAAGCTATGCTTTTGGGTTGTATCAAAGGGATTCAAAACATATTATATAGAGGTAAAAAATAGATTTTGCCTTATATATACAATGTAATTTTTGGGTGAAGGGGGTCGGATGAACCCCCTCCCATGGTTTAACCTACTATAGCTGTTTAGTTACCTTTTGCATGAAGTTACCAAGTAATGTTTATCATAGAGATTACTTGTAATTCCCTGATAACAACTTGTTTGGATGGTTGTTACACATCGTTCCATAATGTATCGTATTGTATTGTATTGTATTGTACTTTATTATTTGATGAATACAATGTATGGATAAATTGTATCGTTTACCGTTGTTTCATGATATCATGCACCAGCAATATGAATAATAAATTTGTCATATTATAAAGTAAAATTATGATACGGGGTAAATTTATTATATAAAAAGGGTGGGTAAATGATAAAATAAAATAATTTAATAATAGTGAAGGGTGAGATGAGAGAAAAAGACAAGATAACGACGCAACCACACCAAATCGGTCGTTACATAAAGTGACACATTTCGTCGTTACGTAACGACGGATTTAACGATACGATACAATAAAATTTAAGTAATAACCAAAATAAATATCGTATTTAAAGTAACAATACGATACGATATAATAGGTAACGACCATCCAAACAAGCTGTAAGTGACTAGATTGTGTAACTATGTTTTATACTGTAGCCTATAGAACTTAAAACTCATAAAATTTTTGATAATGTATAGCGTAGCTGGATTCTGTTTTTCAAAAAGAAAGTTATCCATCCCCTACCATTTATTCATCCTAACTGGATTCTGGTTAAGGAAAACATTTGTGTACAGTGTCATGCTTGGACATGCTTGTACCGGATTACTTCATTCCTCTTCTATAAGAAATTTTAATTTTGCAATCATGGTTAATCACAATGAGCTTTATTAAGTATGCTCGTAAAAAATAATGAGAAAAAATATATTGAGTATTCTGCAGTGGCTTCTTCTTGTGATTGTTGTATCAATAAGAGAAAATTGTTATAGCAGTGACATAATACTGGTGAATCATCATTTGGTTAGTTCATAATAACATAAGCAGTAACAGAGGTACCTGTAGCAGCAGATAAGGATGCTGAAGGACCATTTTGTCGACACATTATATAATCTTGCAGCTACAATATTCTATCGGTAGAGAGTGATTTTGAGAATCAATTAACTTAGCATGCTTGGAGAGTGGCAAACACTTCACAAACAATTTTATATTTATCTAGGTAGTCAAATGAGGCTCACCTTGCATAAGCCAAAAAAGAAAAAGAAAAAAAACTTATATCTATTGCAAAGAGACCCTGGCCAGTAATATTCAATTTAAGATTAACTTATGTGAGTTTTCAGGGCTGTTTCAGGCGTCTATGAAAATGTTAACTCCATGCTTTCTTGACGATATACTCAGTTACTCTGTATCTTCTAATAACAAGAGATCTTCATAAAGATTATTCACTCAATAGAGTTGATCGAGCAATTGTCTTTTGAAGTTGATCTGTTTATAAAGTAAGAACCTAAGGACTGATCAAAAGTAAATGAAGAACCTAATGTCTTGCTAAGTATTTTTGTCAATTACTGTCTTATGAAGCATATTAAAATGAACTGTATTTTCTTTTCTCTTTTTATTTGTGGTGAAAGAGGTAAAATGTTCATTTTGCAAGAAGTAATGAACCAATGGTCCTTATGTGTCTTTGTAAGTGGTACTATGTGGTATATTTATTCAGAATTAGCCGTAACGTTTTGCCAGATACCTAGAATATTATCTTTTGTTTTGGATTGGTCAGCTATGTTCATAGCTCTTTTATTTTTGTTTTTTCCTTTTCCTGGTAAGTCATAAGAATAATACAAAGTAAATCTTGCTTCAATTACAGTGAGTTTGCTTTTGACCCTGCTAAATGGCCCCGAGGGGAAATGGATGAGGACTTCTTTAAGCTATCAAAGATGTTTAATGCAATGAAGTCTGTTGTTCGGGTTCCTGAAATAGATCCCAAATATAAGATCGCAGTTCTTGCTTCAAAGCAGGTTCTGATCCCAAGACTGGTCAACAACTGATTTATGTGTTATGCCGAAACCTTTCTTAGTACCATTTTTAATGTAAAAACTGTCATCAACTTGTTGCAGGACCATTGTCTTGTAGATTTGTTGCACAGGTGGCAGAATGGTAGGCTTCCTGTTGATGTAACTTCTGTAATAAGGTTAAGCATATGCAATTTCTTCATTATACTATTTATTTTCAATTCAAAGAATCAGTTATCATGTAAATTACTTACTATAAAATATTTTTTATCATATAAAATGTATTTCTTTGTTTAACAGCAACCACGATCGAGGTCCAGACGCTCATGTGATTCGGTTACTTGAAAGGCATGGAATTCCATACTATTATTTGCCGACAACTATGGGGACGAAAAGAGAAGTAGAGATCTTGAAATTAGTTCATGATACTGATTTTTTGGTACTTGCTAGATACATGCAGGTAATCAAAATTCTGGGACATTGAACTCTTACTGGTGCTTTCTCTTGATTATATCAAGGGGCGGTTCTGTTGGGCAACAGAGGCAGTTCTGTGTTAGAAAACTTTTTTTCTATTGCTTATATTAGATGGTTCAGTTTAAATGATTTAAACTGGTTGTTTATAATTTACATGATTCATGTCATTTCATGATGTTCACCATTATAAAACTCCTAATAAATGTTGCAGTTCACTCCTTAAGTTGCTTTCGTAATTTAAGGTTGCACTTGTCATGCAGGTATTCTCTGCAGAGTTCTTAGAAAGTTATGGGAAGGATATCATTAACATTCACCATGGCCTTTTGCCATCATTCAAGGGCGGGAGTCCATCTAAGCAGGTTCAATTTCCAGACTCCTTTTCCTTAAAATGGTCATTTTCCACTCTTACTCTGGAACTTCTTTCTATGATGGTTTACAAACTTGAGGCTTTTTATTCGTGATCTTTTGATAGGCTTTTGAGGCTGGTGTTAAGTTGATTGGTGCAACAAGTCACTTTGTTAGTGAAGGACTTGATGCAGGTCCAATCATCGAGCAAATGGTAAGTATTCTTATGTCTAACCATGCAATGTCTTTACTATTTGTAAGCTTTTTTATGTGCATTGGAACTCCAAAAATTAGTTTTAGGATCCAACCTGCATGTTCAATCTTTAACAGCTTATCATTCTATGGTTGCAGTCCTACCTAGCTTTTCTCTTTCTTTGGATTCTGTTTCGTGAAGTTAAAAGCATGCCTTCAATCATAATTTATGTATCATTACTTCGTAAACTTATTAACCCATTTTTTCTTTTTACTCTTCTTGAAAAACGAATTATCTGTAAAACAAAGACATGCTTTTGGTTGAAAGTCTTACGGAGCAATAAGTTACAATTTGGTTGTGTGCTCTTAGAGAAAATACATTAATCCTAATACGAAAACATGGTCACCCAAACACATTCGTTTTTCATAAAAATTCTTGTTCAAAAATATTTTCAAAAAGCTGTCTAAATGCCACATGGGTGCGTGCGTGCGTGTGCGTGTGTGTGTTCATTGGCATAATGCTGCTTCATGTTCTTGATTGTTTCAATGCACTTCGTTTACTTGCATCGTCTTGAGTCTTGGCCTTGGATTTGATATTTTGACTTTAAATCCAGTAACTGTTCGGTAGAATGTATGAAGGTAGACCTGAGAGATTGGTTCTCTCGAAGGAATACGAAGCGATGGAAAGGATTTGAGAAGAGGATAATGCATTTTTAAGTTCAAAATATTTGAAATCTTTATACTAGTGTTCCCTTACCATCTTAGCAAATCGGCCCCTAATTTGAGAAACTAGTCGATTACCATCCGCTAAACGTTCACCATCATTTTATGATTTCAGCTTCATGCTTTTACAGAACCTTTCTTCTTTCAGGTTGAAAGAGTTTCTCATAGAGACAATTTGCGGAGCTTTATTCAGAAGTCTGAGGATCTTGAGAAACAGTGTTTAGCAAAAGCAATTAAATCATACTGCGAGTTGCGCGTTTTACCATATGAAAAAGACAAGACTGTTGTATTTTGAGTATAACCCAAGTGGGAATGGGGACACCATAAATCTTTGTACATTTAGTTACAGGGAAGTATGGATATTAGTGTTGTGACTTTAATATATTGTACACACACTATTCAGAAAAGAGAAGAGTTGACTGGTTTATACCAATACTACATGAGTCAAGAACTGTTCAAGAAAAAGAGAGAAAACGACAGGTTTCTTCCAATTCATCTTATTATCATCAAACTTGCTTCAAAGCCGTAACTGGGTGTAGAACTTTCTAAACTATGTGTTACTTGAAAAGGTTAGTGGCTTGAAATTTTCTTTCCAGTTTCTTTCCTTATCGTCCTTAGTTTCCCTCTTCTTCCTCTTTCTTCCTCTTTCTTCTTCTTCTTCTTCTTCTTCTTCTCTTTTCTCCCTTTTCACCTTTTTTTTGAGCCAGGTTCTATCGGAAACAACCTCTCTACCTCGCCAGGTGAGGGTAAGGTCTGTGTACACACTATCCTCCTCAAACCGCACCTGCGAAACTATACTAGGTATGTTGTTGTTGTTTCTTTCTTGTGTGGCCACTGTTATTTTAGAGTTATTTAGCTTTGTCTAAATGAATGTACACATGCATAGGCTTTAGATATCCTCAGTCTTTCAAAAGAAACCAAAACATGATATTTCATTGGAAACAAACTTGTTGCATAGCATAATATACAAAGCTTAAATTAAAAATCAACATTGCATTTGAAAACACACAAAGAAACATTGAAGACAGACTTGTCTTCTTTTAAGTTTTAAGCATAGTCTTCTGAGGTTGGAAGTGGGGTGTGGCATCCAATAAAGACATCTCCATAAATAAACCCAGCTAATCCTCCACCAATGAGTGGGCCGGCCCAATAGATCCAGTTTTGAGAAAAGTCTCCTGCAACCACAGCTGGCCCAAATGATCGAGCTGGGTTCATTGACCCACCACTGAATGGACCAGCTGCCAAAATGTTGGCCCCAACAATGAACCCAATTGCAATGGGTGCAATGGTTCCAAGTGAGCCCTTTTTAGGGTCTGCTGCTGTTGCATAAACAGTGTAGACCAGTGCAAAGGTTATGATTATCTCCATCACCACTCCTTGTAATCCATTGAGCCCAGCAGCAACTCCATGGGTTGGAACAGCCTGCCAAAAACCAACATATGAGGCCCAACTCCAATTACAAATAAACAGTCATATTCATTATTTATTTTTTCTAGTCGATATACGTACAATATACACTAATTATACAAATATTCTACATGAAATATACATATATTATGCATCTGCCGGCTCTTTTTAATTTAAAGGGTTGGATGGACGGCTATACGACCGCTTAGGCTGGTCTTAGGTAAAGTTGTTTTTTTATTGAAGTTGTGAAAAATATAAAAAGACATATAATATGGATTGAAAATGATAGCAGTACATACCAATCCATTAGTAACGTATTTGAGGAGGAGGCAAGCAACTGTGGAGCCAAGCAATTGGGCAATCCAGTAGAAGAAGCCAGTCAAGATGGTGATGTTTCCACCAACAGCCAATCCCAAAGTTACAGCTGGATTCAAATGGCCACCTGAAATATTGGCTGCTATGGAAACCCCAACAAACAATGCAAATGCATGAGCCACAGCTACTGCTACTAGACCAGCTGGATCAAGAGCTGCATCTGCTGTCAATTTATCTACAAAATCACCCCACAAAGCAAAAAAAAAAAAAAAAAAAAAAAAAAAAAAAAAAGGTTAATTAGGCAGTCTTGGTGTAACTGTAAAAGTTATGTTGTTTTCGGTTATGGATTGAGAAAACGGCATCTAGTAAAATGTAAGGTAAAATTGAATATGATAGAGCCAGTCTAGTCTTTCTCTAGACTCCGTGGCATGTGCATAACGAATTAATGGGACCTTAGTGCACCTGATTGCTCTTTTTACTATTTAGTGCTAGAGCAGATTAAGTATTTATGTTAGCATGCAAGTTTAATTAGAGAAGTGTTACTTACTATAAGCTATAGCAGACCCAACCCCAGCAAACACAAAGAGAAGAGTAGCAATAAACTCAGCTACATAGGCCTTCAATGATCCAACACTAAAAGAGTCACCAATGCTACCAAAGGCAATCCTCACCATTTTTAGTTCTCACTAGAAAAATGCCCCAAAAGAAGCTCAATTTAAGTTCTTAAGAGGGTTTTGCTTAAAACTTGATGGTTTTCCAAGTTTCACATAACCTGTCTTTATATATCCATAGGGTCTTACCAAAAATAACACATTTTGCAACTTTAACAATAAAAGAGGAAAAAATTAAAAATAACACATTTTGTGTTTGGTTTTGCCGACCATGGGCCTTATTTGAGTGGACTAGGACAAATGATTGGCGCCGTCCCACCGCCCTTTGGCTTTTTTTGATTTATATTTCACATTAATGGTTTAATTGAGACGACTAAGTTATATTACATTGTAATGGACGTTTAAGAAATGAATTTAAAACTTTGTTTAGATAAGCTTAACTAATATACAAGATTTAAAAAGTGATAATTTTTTAAGAAGAAAAAAAAGAAGGAAAAGAAAAGGTAAGCTCCACTAGAGTTATAATACTAGATGTCTGATGTCAAGAACAAATTTCTTTCTTGTTTAGAATAACTATAATGACGTTCCAACGCATAGGGGAATCATTATAATGTTGATGCTGGTGATAATGATAATTAAGATTATATATAATGCGGTTGTGTTTGGTATGGTGTAAAATATTTAATAAATTATATTCTTTTGCTAATTTTTTTTATTTATAATCATATGATATACCGTATGACCAAACTAATTCAAATTCACATTGTGTAGGACATATTAAAGAACGAATCATTTCCTTTCGGGTGTTTTTTCATTTTCAAGTTTTAAACTGAAAATATTTGATTAAGATGTCCTCCACATCCCTTTTTACAAACTATTTTCTACTTTTTGATTGTCTTAGATTGTTGTGAATATTTCCTAAAGGAAAATAGTTGCATCAAACGCATTCTAAAAGTATGCCATAAATTCAAAAATATTTGTGGGTTTTGAGCTAGTATTTGGAGAGAGAGAAAAAAAAGAGCTGCAAATTTTTATTTGTAAAATTTTGCAAGAACAAAAAGGTACTTTACATTTTTGCAAGAAATTATTGCAAATTGAACTCCCCAATGGTGTTTTATATTACTCCGTACGTATTAATGGTTCATGGAGACGACTAATTAAGTTATACTATTACATTGTAATGGGCATTCAAGAAATGAATTTTAAACGTTGTTGAGATAAGTTTAACTAATGCATTTAAAAAGTGATAATTTTTTTTAGAGGAACAATAAGAAAAAGAGGAGAAGAAAAGGTAAACTCCAGTATAGTAGTCCAGATGTCTGATGTCATGAGCAAAAAAGAAACTATTTCCTCTTTAGAATAACTAAAATGACGTTCCAACACGCAAGAAACTTATTATAATGTTTATGCTGATATAATGATAATTAATTGAAGTACAATAAGGGGTATGCTTGGAATGGTGTCAAGATTTTTAACGAACAATTACTCTCTTTACTAAATTATTTTATACTCCAAGACGTCGAGGGTCTTTCGAAAATAATCTTGTGTGCGGTCAAATCGATTTGAGTCAGTCGTACGGATTGGTCAAAACGATAATGTTTCGATCAAAGGATATCTACATAACAAGCTCGGTCAAGGTCCGAAGTAAAGGCGTCGAACTTCGAGCTCTAAGACCGATCAATGACAAGCTCGGTATCATTATCGAGCTCATATCCAAATCGAACTACGAGGCAAAACGGAGATTATCGAAGATGCATAGACCGACCAACACTCACCCCGAATACCGAGACCCCAAGTCAGAATCGAGCTCGGACCAAGGTCGAGGGCTCGGTCCAATGCCGAGCTCGAACCAGTATCGAGCTCGCAGACAAGGGCCGTTGCAACCGCACTATGGGAGAGAATCTCGGCGAAAATCGAGGAAGAAACAAGTCATCATGGGTCCTCCACTATATGCTTTATTTTATTATTTTATTGTAAATAAAGTAATGACCCTCTATTATAAAAGAGGGGGATCCTTGTAAGCAAAAGGGCATGAACAGATTGGAAAAAGGCCTTTTCTCATAGACAAAGATATCTCCTTGTGCTTGTCTTACTTCATGCTATACATTCTTTCTGTTCATCATTCCTATTCTCGTAGTCAAAATACTTGTATTGTTATCTTTGTATCAAAGGATATTACGTATCCTTAGAACCATACTAAATTTAATGTTATTCGATTTTTCGGGTAAACAGTTTGGCGCCCACCGTGGGGCTAAGGATAACAGTGATTATTTGATATAAATCTACAGTACACACCAGCTTACAACTTCAAATCAGCAATGGCTTTACCTATCGACCTCAAAGCCGACCTTCAAGATGAAACCAACAACTTGGCACCCGGGGCCGGAAGGCCACTTGACGATGGCACTGAGGCTCGAATCGAAGTACCCGAAATTCGAGCCGAAGTAACATTGGATGTCAATTCACAAATAGCTCTGGAGGCGAATCAGCGTTCCGAACCGGAAAGAAGCATTCAGGGCGGTACTCGATCCGTAGCCCGAGACACCCATAACGCGGGAGAAATCGGGGCCAGCTTGCGTATGATCTTTGAGATGCTAAAAGCCCAACAAGTAGCTATAGCTCAGTTGCAGAGCCAAACTCGTATACAAAGCAGGCCGGATTCCAATCCGCTTTGAGAAATCACCCCCAGAACGGAGCCCGCACTCACTCGACCATTAAGCCTAACGGTTACTTTTATTTTCGAGTTCGAGCAAACACTCACTTGACTATTAAGCCTACGGGCTACATTATTTCGAGTTCGAATCATTCACTCGACTACTAAGCCTACGGGCTACTTTTATTTCGAGTTCGAGCAAGCACTCACTCGACTATTACGCCTACGGGCTACATTGCATCGAGTTCGAATCATTCACTCGACTGCAAAACCTACGGGCTACTTTTATTTTCGAGTTCGAGCAAGCACTCACTCGACCGTTAAGCCGACGGACTACATTATTTCAAGTTCGAATCATTCACTCGACCACTAAGCCTACGGGCTACTTTTATTTCGAGTTCGAGCAAGCACTCACTCGACCACTAAGCCTACGGGCTACTTTTATTTCGAGTTCAAGCAATCACTCACTCGACCACTAAGACTACAGGCTACTTTTATTTCGAGTTCGAGCAAATACTCACTCGACCATTAAGCCTACGGGCTACATTATTTCGAGTTCGAATCATTCACTCGACTACTAAGCCTATGGGCTACTTTTATTTCGAGGTCGAGCAAGCACTCACTCGACTATTATACCTACGGGCTACATTGCATCGAGTTCGAATCATTCACTCGACTGCAAAGCCTACGGGCTACTTTTATTTTCGAGTTCGAGCAAGCACTCACTCGGCCGTTAAGCCGACGGACTACATTATTTCGAGTTCGAATCATTCACTCGACCATTAAGCCTACGGGCTACATTATTTCGAGTTCGAATCATTCACTCGACTACTAAGCCTACGGGCTACTTTTATTTCGAGTTCGAGCAAGCACTCACTAGACTATTACGCCTACGGGCTACATTGCATCGAGTTCGAATCATTCACTCGACTGCAAAGCCTACGGGCTACTTTTATTTTCGAGTTCGAGTAAGCACTCACTCGACCGTTAAGCTGACGTGCTACATTATTTCGAGTTCGAATCATTCACTCGACCACTAAGCCTACGGGCTACTTTTATTTTCGAGTTCGAGTAAGCACTCACTCGACCGTTAAGCTGACGTGCTACATTATTTCGAGTTCGAATCATTCACTCGACCACTAAGCCTACGGGCTACTTTTATTTCGCGTTTGAGCAAGCACTCATTCGACCACTAAGCCTACGGGCTGCTTTTATTTCGAGTTTGAGAAAGCTCTCACTCGACTATTACGCCTACGGGCTACATTGCATCGAGTTCGAATCATTCACTCGACTGCAAAGCCTACGAGCTACTTTTATTTTTAGTTCGAGCAAGCACTCACTCGACTGCAAAGCCTACAAGCTACTTTTATTTTCGAGTTCGAGCAAACACTCACTCGACCATTAAGCCTACGGGCTACATTATTTCGAGTTCGAATCATTCACTCGACTGCAAAGCATACGGGCTACTTTTATTTTCGAGTTCGAGCAAGTACTCACTCGACTATTACGCCTACGGGCTACATTGCATCGAGTTCAAATCATTCACTCGACTGCAAAGCATACGGGCTACTTTTATTTTCGAGTTCGAGCAAGAACTCACTCAACCGTTAAGCCTACGGGCTATATTATTTTGAGTTCGAATCATTCACTCGACTACTAAGCCTACGGGCTATATTATTTTGAGTTCGAATCATTCACTCGACTACTAAGCCTACGGGCTACTTTTATTTTGAATTCGAGAAAGAACTCACTCGACCATTATGCCTCCGGGATACATTATTTTGAGTAAAACTACTCATTTCTTCGAATTCAAACGAACACTTGACTATTTAAAGCTGAAGGATGTTCGAGCCCGATAAAGCAAAGGGGACTACCCATGAGGCTCGAAGGCAACATAGATTAAAATTCAAACTATATATTTAGCTTGAAAGGCTCTTTTGCTTCAAAAGGACGAAAGATTTATATTTACAAATATTTTGTACAGAGGCGGCTACTCTGCCAAAAGGAAGTTCTTTATACAAAAACCGAAAGCGGTATCGAAAGAACGCAGCAAACGACCTAAGGCCCTAAATGACTCAATCTTCATCGGAGGCTGTATTCTCAGCATCGTCCTCATCTTCAGACTCCCCCGAGTCATTGGAGTCCTCCTCGGGAAAGGCCAACCTCCGAGCTTTGTTCTCTTCCGCCCTGGCGACTTCAATCTCGGCCCCAATATCGAAGCCCTGAGCTCTGACCTCCTCGAGAGCCTCTCTCCGAGCTTGCCATTTTGCATGTTCGACCATGCTCTCAGCTTTGGCTTGGTTAACCTCGACATCGATCCTGAACTGAGCCACTTTGGCATTAACTCTTTAATTGGCCTCGATCACCTCAGATCTGGCCACTTCAAGTTCTTTGGCCGAATCTGCTTTATCTGAAGTGGCCAAATCCAACCGATGCTGAAGCTCTTTCATCTTTTTGATCAACCCCAAAGTGTTTTCTTTCGCAGATCAAAGTTGGGC